TCCCTAACAATTATCCATAAAAAAGAGTTAACGATAGAGTGATTTCAATGACAATGAGGACGAGCGAGGTATGTTTTTACTTCTCCTTTTCATGTTGTAGGTTTTTTTTTTCTTTTTTTAATATCGATAAACTTTTTTTCTTGAAGTTAATATTTCAACTTAAGACCTTTTTTGAGTGCTGTGATTTTTGTTAGGTAAGGTTTTAGTTTTGGGGATTTTAGGATTTCATTTGTTTTTGGGAATTTTAGATAAATCATTTTAAGGATTTTGATTTGTAGACCGAATGTTTTTTTATTTTAAGACTACTAGAGTTTTTAGTGTCGAGTTCAATTTCTAAGCTCTCTTCTCTTACTTCTCTTATTAACTTTCTCTTTCATTTTGAATTCAATCACTTTAGGGCACATTCAAGCGTTTCTGCTCAATCATAATCTATCATTATTTTAGATATTTTTACCAAATATGATCGAAGCAAAAAGATTTCATAGAATAGTTTCAACTTTTTGAAATTTGACAAACGATTATCAAACTTAGTACTATCATGTTGTGTGTATCCCTTAACAAACTTGGAACAAGAAATGACTAAAACGTAACATTAGATAAAATATATGGAATCATATAATTGCAAAAGTAGTAATATTTACTTATAATAATGCAAATTGATTAACTCTTTTATATTATAATAATAATAATAATAATAATAATAAGACCCTAGAAATTCTGTAAGACTCATTCAATCTTGTTAGCACAATTGTTGTATATTTTGCTATTGTGAGAGTGCATAAGAACTTTAATAATAGTAGATATTATTGAGCATCAAGTATTTTCTTTATCAACAAAAAATGCAATAGTCATTTTGAAAGATGAAATTTCTCATAGTAGGACGAAGTTGTTAACGAGAAAGGATACAAGGTAAGAATGGATTGAGGAGAAGGAATAGTAGGAAATGCTAGTAAAAACATTAAATAAACACTAAAAAGAAACATAAAAAATTTAAACTCCATAGATGTCTGACTCCATTCTTCTTTAATATTGAAGATTTCTTTTCCGACTTCTACATTTAATGGCTTCATCTGGCTTCATAATTGGAACAAGTTATAATTTAATCCATATTTCAATTCAATTTTTTACAAATTGTGATTCTTAATTGTCTTATTTAATTCTAAAATGGCATGGGAGTTTATTAGGAAATGAGATTTTATAAATGCATTTCATTATTGTATCGTATTTGTCAGCTGAACAATATTTTCAATTAAAATAGTCATATGTTTAGCTATTATTCAAAAAAAGGCAAATGAATATTAGGGAAAATTTTAAAAATATATATATAAGAAAAACCAACTTATTTTTTTACTTAAAAATTATCTTTCATGAAATTTTTATTTTTTTTCAAAAACTACAATCACAGAAAGAAAACTTACATTTTCTGTTAACTAAAATTTTAGGCTTATTACATTTAAGCATAGCAAATCATTTATACAAATAAGTTCTTCTCCTTTTTCCTACATGTATATATAACATGAAATGCATGTACATTACTTAAATATTTATATATGTATATATACTACACACTTCAACTTCTCAATTTTTGTTAATTTTGCAATCATTTGTTGTTGTGGTAAAATTTCTAAATTTTAATTTTATGTATGTTCGACTATTTTATATTTTTCTCCTATCGGAAATGAAGAACAAATGTAGACAATTTAAAATTATGTGTAAAATTGTGATGCATTGCTGTATAGAATTTATTTCGTCAAAATAAATAAATTATAATTTTTGTGTAATATTTATTTGTGATTTCTAATTCAAATGCATATATTTAATGTGGTTTTCATTAAGTTGTATTTATGGTTAACTCAGTACTAGGTACAAGCATTTTGTTGTCCTTATGGATTCTTTCGAACCATCTGCAAATCAATTATCTGGTTTTTGTAAAATTGAAAGCGTTCACGAAAACACAAGTGAATCATATAATGCTTTCATTCGTCAACAAAAAAGTCAAAAACAGGCGGACACAAGGAATCGAAACCAAACTACGCGTGTTGATCGTCGTAGAAGAGTAAGCGATCCTAGAGTATCTGAAAATCATAATCTAGGTGCTACTCAAGTTGATCAACATATAATATGTTTTGAATCTGAGCCTTCTACTTCGAATGAAAAATCGACAAATGTTCATCTTCCTAAACTACAAGGAAGTGTTAATTTGTTAAATATACCAACTACTGCATATGTATTACCGACATGCAGTTATTGTAAACATTGTAGTGCACGTAAATTTTATAGGGAAAGTAATGTTTTTTGTTGCTCTGATGGAAAAGTTAAATTATTTATGCCAGAATCGCCAACTGAATTATATGATTTATTTACTTCAAAAGAGCCTACATGTATAGAATTCAAAAAGTTGTCACGTGGATATAATAATCACTTTGCGTTCACTTCATTTGGTGTAAAGTATGATAAAGAACTTTTCAAAACATATAAAGGTATTTATACATTTAGATTTCAAGGACAAGTATATCATTATGTAAATAAATTTATGCCAGAAAATAATACGCCTTCTTATATGCAATTATAATTTTATGACACAGAAAATGAGCTTCAAAATCGCATGAAAATTTCAAAAAATTTAGTTGAATCTAATATGATTATTTTAATTGAAATCTTGAAAGTAAATCCATATAGTAAATTTTTTAGGTCTTTAAGTGATATGACAAACCTGCACAATCATCGTATACACATAAGATGTGACCCAGGAATTGATCAGAGAGTTTTTAATACTCCTTCAGCATCTCAAGTAGCTGCTGTATAGGTTGAGGATGATGAAAATACAAATACTCGTGTTCGTGATATTATTATATATGGACATTCTGGTGATTCCCATAGAGTTCATTATTATTATGGTTGTTATGATCCTTTGCAATATCCCTTAATTTTTCCATTAGGAGAATCTAGTTGGCATGAAGGCATACAAAGATGCAAAAACATAAATGTTCAGCCTCGTAATTTGATTGATTGTGTTGCGGTTCCTAACACAATAAATTATAAAATTGAAATTATTGAAAAAGAGGCTGCAGGTTTGTTCATATAATTTTTTGTACAGTTTTTAATTTTTACAATTTACTGTTTTTACTGAATATGAATTCTTTTTTTTTTCTCATGCAGTGCTTAATGGAACAAAGAAACGATCTCAAGTTTCTTGTCGCGAATACTATTCATACAAGTTACAAATTAGGCATTCTGGTAAGTTTGTATTACTTCATACTGATAGACTTTTTCAATAGTATATTGTAGATATGTACGTTAAAATTGAAACTGCCAGGTTAGATTATTTTCGAAAGAATCAGAAACAAATTCGTGCGGAAATCTATCGAGGTATTGTGGATAGTGTTGAAAATGGGGAAACAAGAGGGTACAAGATTGGAAAGAAATTTGTTTTACCACAATCTTTTACACGTGGTCCTAGAGATATGCTAAGAAGATATTTAGAATTTATGACTATTGTTCAACGTTTTGGAAAACCATATATATTTTTAACTAGAACATCCTGAAATTAAGCAAGAACTAAAATATAATGATGAAGTTCAAAATCGATCAAATTTAATTGTACGTATATTTAGAGCAAAATTAGAGGAGTTAAAAAAATGATTTATGTAAAGAAAATATCTTAGGCCCTGTTGTTGCTCATATATCGATGGTTGAATTCCAAAAAAGAGGGCTCCCTCATGCGCATTTGTTATTGATTTTTAATTGTGCCCATAAAATTGTATGTGTTGAGCAAGTTGACAAAATAGTATCTTGTTAAATTCCTGATGAAAATAAGTATTCTCATCTTCATTCTGTTATTGTAAAACATAATATGCATGGTCCATGTGGAAACCTTAATCCAAAAAATGTATGTATACTAAAAACTACTTGTTGTAAAAATAAATATCCTAGAGATTACTGTAACACTACTATATTTGATGATAACTCATATCCATTGTATAGACGTCGTAATAATGATATTTTTATTAAAGTTAGAGGCCACATGTTAGATAATCGATGGGTTGTTTCATATAATCCTTATTTAAGTGCAAAATTTGACTGTTACATTAACTTTGAAGTATGTTCATCCATTAAAGCTGTAAAATATTTGTATAAATATGTATATAAAGGACATGATCGCATTAATTTTTTTGTTGGCAAAAATGAAAATATGGAAGTTGATGAAATTTCTGCTTATCAATCTGCTAGATGGATATCTCCACTTGAAGCTATGTGGAGAATTTTTTCTTTCAACTTATCAGAAATTTATCAATACTGTTTATTCTTTACAACTTCACATTGAAGATCATCAACAAGTAAGATATACCGATGAAGTTGACTTATGTAGTATTGTTAATAATGAAAATACAAGAAAAACTATGTTAACTGAATTTTTTCGAATAAATAAAATAAACGAATTTGCTCGAACATTGTTGTATAAAGATTTTCCAGCACATTTTGTCTGGAATGCACATAAGAAAATTTGGACTCCTAGAAAGCAACAACTTGTTATAGGATGAATTGTTACCGCAAATCCAAGTGAAGGAAAGAGATATTTTCTTCGAATTCTTCTTAATCACATTAAAGGGCCAACATCATTCAATGATTTCAAAACTTTGAATGGGGTAACTTATGTTACATATCGAGAAGTCGCACTTGCACATGGTTTTTTAAAGAGAGACAATCATTGTGAAAAGTGTTTATCAGAAGCCATTGTATATGAAATGACAGGTTCTTTAAGACGCCTTTTTGCTACAATGCTTACGCTTTGTAATCCTGATTATCCAAAGTTACTGTGGGATAAATTTAAATCTTACATGATTGACGATTATGTACATCAAAATATATGTTTGGAAACTGCTGAAGTGCGAGCTTTGGAAGATATTAATTCAATTTTAGAATCTAGAGGTAAAGATATCAATGACTATGGAATAGTGCCATTTCATGTAGATATAGATGAAGCTGAGAGATTGAATTGAATGGTTGCAGAAGAAACGATGAATTTTGATGTTGAAGGAGGCCTTGCTTGTGCAACAATGTTAAATAAAGAACAACAAATTGCATACGATACAATAATGGAAAAAGTAAAAATTGAATCAAGTGATGTTTTTTTCATTGATGATCCGGGGGGGACAGGAAAGACTTTTTTATACAAAGCACTTTTAGCTGGCGTAAGTTCTCAAAATTTAATTGCTTTAGCAACAGCGTTCTCTGGAGTATCTGTATCTCTTTCACCTGGAGGTCGAACAGCTCATTCGAGATTTAAAATTCCTCTAGAAACAGTTGGTGAAGTTAGTTGTTCTGTTAGTAAACAATCAACTTTGGGGACTTTATTAAAAATGTTTAAACTAATAATTTGGAATGAAGCACCCATGGTAAACCATCATGCTATTGAAGCTGTAGAGAAAATGCTTAGAGATGTTGCCGATTGTGACTTGCCTTTTGGTGGGAAAGTCATAATTCTTGGAGGAGATTTTCGACAGGTTCTACCAATAGTACCAAGAGGGAAAAAAGAAGACATAATGAAAGCTAGCTTAGTTTTCTCAGATTTATGGCCTTTATATTTACAACTACCTTTAGTTGAAAATATGAGAGAAAAATTAGATCCTGTGTTTTGCGATTACTTAGAATTGGAGATGAGGCAGAAAAAGAACATAGTTGTGATTGTATTCAACTTTTAAACAATATAATTTTATTATTTGAAGATGAAATTACATCTTTAAAAAATTTGATACGTCGCGTTTTTCCAAATATAGAAGCATATGCTGATCATTTACATGACATGATGAACAGAGTTATTCTTACTCCTAAAAATGAATGGTTGATTATATTAACAAAATTTTGCTCGATCAAATTCCTGGTGAAATTTTTACCAATTGACAAATCAGAACAAAGCTTGCAGAAAGATTTTTTTGAATAGTTTGATACCAAATGGTATTCCACCACATGAATTGAAACTTAAGGTAAATTGTCCAGTAATATTATTGCGGAATATCAATCCTTCTGAAGGTTTATGCAATGGGACACGCCTTGTCGAAAATTTAATAGAAATGTAATTTTAGCTAAAAACACAATTGGTGAATATCGTGGAAAATATGTGTTTTTACCAAAGATTCCTTTTGTACCTCTTCAAAATGATCGAAACTCAATTCAATTTAAAAGAACTCAATTCCCAATTAGATCCTGCTTTGCAATGACAATAAATAAAGCACAACGTCAAACTTTAGATTTTGTTGGTTTATACCTTCCAGAACCAGTTTTTTGCCATGGACAACTATACGTAGCATTATCGAGAGCAAAAACAAGTAAATCTTTGAAAGTTTTACTCAAACCGTCAAATGCAGACAATTTACATAACGCATGCACTAAGAATGTAGTGTATAAAGAAATTTTTTTCATTTATACATTCATAAAACTACAATCTTTTCGTAGGTATGTGTTTATTTTTGTTCTCAAATTCAATATGTTTTATTATTCATTAGTTTCATCGTTTTTATATAAGTTGTAAAGATTAAATATCTAGATTTTACATCTTCTGTTAATTGGTTTGAAATCTGCCTTAAATTCAAGAGGGTTAACTACATATTTAGCGTCATTTATATAAATAACTTTCATTTGATATGCTTTACTTTTATGTTGCTTTTTCTCTTTATTGGTTTTTACTACAGTTTCAACTATTTTATGCTTTTTTTTCCTTATTATTTATTTAAAGATGGAAACTTTTACCTGTAGTAACAAGTGATTGCTAACTTACATTTTCATCTTTATACCAGCAAACATGTTATCCATCAAATATAGTTTCTATTTGTATGGTAAAGAATGAAGATAAATTAATTTTAACGAACTTTTTAACAAGATTAATCACATTCTTTTCTTTTTATTCCTGGTAATGGTGGAAGTTACAAATATAGAAGTCCCTTCTCATTTATTTTTAGTTGTCAAGCATATTTTTGGATCATTTCTTAGGATAAATAGCAAACTAAAGTTAGTCATATTTTTGTTCGTGTCTTCGTATTTTCTATACTAATAAATGTTAAAAATATATTACTATTTGTATTTATTGGTGAGTACACTTTTGTTAGGAATAATTCATTCTGAGAAGAAAAGTATAAATTTTGTGTGTGGATTTAGAGGATTATGCTTTATTATATTTCGAGTAGTCCAATATACACAAAACTAAATGTGTGAATGATGAATTTTTCAAAGTTCAGCCTATTATTGCAAATCCCTCTACTTATGTTTAAAAATTGTAATATTGATGTATATAAATAATAAAGTTTCAATAAGTTTATTTTTTAATAAAATTTAGTTTGTAGTCGAATCATTTTACCAGAATTTGTAACCTAGAACTCAAGAAAGAGAATTCAATAATAAGCTTTTTTATTTGCGTTACATTATTATTCATAATACATGACTTGTATTTCAAAGTTTCAACCATTTTATGCTTTTTTTTTCTTATTGATTATTTAAAGATAAAAACTTTTATCTACAATAACAAGTGATTGTTAACTTTCATTTTCATCTTTATACCAGCAAATATGTCATCTATCAAATATAGTTTATATTTGTATGGTAAAGGATGAAGAAAGATTAATTTTAATTAACTTCTTAACAAGCTTAATCGCATTCATTTCTTTTTATTCTTGGTAATAGTGAAAGTTAAAAACATATAAGTCCCTTCTTATTTATTTTTAATTGTTAAGCATATTTTCGGATCATTTCTTAGGATGAATAGCAAAATACAATTGGTCATAAACTTAATCATGCTCATTAAAAGAAATTAGACAATTAGACATTTAATAGTTTGTCTATTTTTTTTTTTTTGTGTCTTCGTATTTCTTATACTAATAAATGTTAAAAATATATTATTATTTGTATTTATTGGTGAGTAGACACTTCTGTTAAGAAGACTTTTTTTCTAAATAGGTAAAATGAACAATTTACTCAATAAATAGTGTCGGTAGTTTTGTATTATTAAAACATACTCATATGATGATGCAATGCTGTATGGGTTATTAATTTTTATATAATTCTTAAGTTATATAATAGTGATGACAGCAAATGCTTTATTTGTAAATTAATTTAGAATGCTTAAAATTTAAATTGATATTCGCTAATTGAGTATTTATTATTTTACTACTTTTTCCTCATTGATTAGGTGACATCACTTGTTGTGGAATGTAATAGAGTTTATGAAAAAAAGTACTGTTGTGTTGCCTACTACGATGATGTAAATTACTTAAAATTAATTCTTTATGCTACTCATTAGATTTCGATTGCAGAATCTTGGTAACTATTTCTTGCTAATGTCGTCTTATATTAATATATACACTAATGTTTGTCTATTCAAAACAATAAATTAATTATCGTTCTCAAATGGAAGGTCGTATAAGAGATGAAAGTGTTGCAACTCCTAAAAGAATTCCATCCACAAAAGGTATGTTTTTTACTTTTCATATGCCTTTTTGATTTCTTTTTATATAAGAATATTTGAAAATTCTCTTATGTTCTTCTGTTTCACAAAATTTTTGGATTTTTTATCGTCTGATTTTATCACTCCATCGATTTTTTTTGTTGAAAGTACTATGGCTGCGACTTTTTTCAGTTTTATTTTCTAGAGTTTTAAGAAATTAATTCATTCTGAGAAAAAAAGGATAAATTAATTCATTTATGTTAGTAATTCATTATTGCAAATCTTTGCAGGTCATCAATTAGCAATTATTAAGGAAACAGGAAAACGACTCGGGATGGGCATAAATATATACCCTTGTTGATTTTGCCTCAATAATGATAACGATCATCTTTGCCTTATGTTTTATTTAGTGCTACATTAAATAATCTATTCATGCTTTAGACATAGAAAAGTTTTTTAACAAATTTTGATGTCTTCTCTTGTATTTCATAATGTATATACTACAAAGTATTAAAGAGTGCTTGTACAATGACTACAACGATATATAAAACTATTTTTACTATTATTCAAATTATTTCTATACCATCACAACAGCAAAACATATAATGATTTTATTAAACACTTTAAAGAATTCTTTAAATTTCTTAGCTTATAAAACAATCAAGTGTACTAATTTTTCCTTAAAAAAAACACAAATCCATGCATTTCAACTATATGATAATGTAATACTTACATTATTTATTTCTATATATTTCTTTTGTATTATCTATTACTTTAATTGAATAATAATAATAATAATTAAATTAAGAATTCAAAAGTAAAACCTCTATGTGAAATGATAATAACAATTACATTTTTATATATGTTAGTTATATAAAATTTTAAACTGTACTTTTCAAATGAAATAAGTAAATTTATAAAATGGTTCAAACATTTAATTATATGTAGTTACAATTTACAAATATTCATATTTAAAACTTTTATAATAATAAATATTAAATATAAATAAACGAAAATAAAACAACTATGTAAAAAAGTTAACTAACTTAGCAATTTTTTTATTTCATTACTATAATTATTACTTTAAACATTTACGTATAACAAAATTACATATTTAATAGCAGATCTTTTGTGTAATATACACAAGTACAATTTGTATTAAATGATGAATAGACAGATATAATTATATCTTATCTGATAATAGATATTTCCCATTTTTCAACTGATACGTGCTACAATTGCTTCGAAGTTTATCCTTCCACATATAGCTTACGTAGTATATTTACCTTTATTTCTCCAGTGGCTAAATTATATATTAAAAAATTAAAAATATCTATTAAATATCTTTTCTAGATGTTTTATAAATACCATACTTTGTACTCCAAATTTATTGACATATTGCAACTCATTTCTGCTTACCAACTCTTCAAAACAAACATTTTCGGTATGTTTTCTATTTCTTGGACAAAAATTCCTTTTCATTTTTATAACTATTTGTATTTAACTTTTGTTATTCTTATTGACAGATATTAAAGATGGCTACATCATATAAACTAATCCCACAGATTGGAATTTCAGAAATGAATTGGTCTGCAAAAGTAGTCATTATAGGAAAACAATCGCCTAAGATTGCTCGTAATTCAACTACTAGATATCAGAATATTATCCTCATGGATTTATAGGTACATAAGTAATAATATTTTTCATAATTTTAAACTTTTATTATACCTGTATATTTTATAACTATTTTCAACTGCACTAATGTTAAACGGGGTAATTAAGTTACAGCAACACTCTATGAAGCAAATACTACTGCACTTAACGATCAGCTAGAGCTGGGAAAAACGTATGTCATCTCGAATTCAACAGTGAAAGATAACAAAAGTGAGTTTAAAAGCTCAAACGATGAAAAAGTGTGGATGATCACAGGAAGAACAAAAATCGAAGAGTTACGTGAGAATAATTTAAACTTTGTCTTCTCACAGTATCAACTTACTCCGTTTGATGAATCAGAACAACACATGGATAAAAGTATCAATATCAGTAAGATTTCTAATACATCACTATATTATCACATTCCACAGTTATCTTATGTCTTTAAATTAACTAAATGCGACATATATATAAAGAAAATTATTTTTTGTAGGTGTTATAGGTATAGCTGTGGACATTAAACAAAAACGAATTATCCAAACTCATTTTGGTACACAAGCTACTCTTCAGGATATTATATTGATGGAAAAACAATACCAAACAGTGATGCTGACC